TGTATATGTTATTTTGGATCTACTTTTAAAAATCACATTGATTATTATGTATTTCTATGATATTAGTAGGTTCTCTCAAATCATTTCTATAAACTTATTAAAACATAAAATTCAATTGCTTTGCCTTATTAGTTGTTGTAATTGGTTGAAATTTTTTTAGGTGATTTGTAGCATATTTATAATTCTTTCATTCCATAATATTGTTGTGATCTGCCAAGCTTTTAAATTTGAGAATCTAACCATAAGCTTCATGACTATAGCTCTTTCTTGGTCTTATTGAATGTATTTAGTATTTAGTGGTCAAATGATTATAACTACTGACACTGTAATCTTCATTAAGCACTGTTTCTCTGCATCATTTTTGACCCAAGTGTTCAAAGCATATATCAACATAATTTAAATATACACATAATATTGTATAGCTATTCCTTTTTTTATTTAAAAATGGGTTCTTTGGTGTTTCCCATTTGTTTTCCTTTAAGAATTTTTTATTAAGCATATTTTCTGTTTATTTCAATAAAATTAAAAATCAAATTTATTTCAGGCTGGGTGCTGTGTCTTGCGACTATAATCTCAGCCCTTTGGGAGGCCAGTGGTAGAATTGCTTGAGCCCAGGAGTTCAAGACCTGTCTGGGCAACATAATGAGACCACCCTCCTCTCTACAGGAAAAAAAAAAAAAAGCTCAGCATGGTGGCAGGCACCTATAGTCCCAGCTACTCAGGAGGCTACAGGAGGCTCAGGGGGGAGGATTGCTTAAGCCCAGGAGCTTGAGGGTGCAGTGAGCTATGATCCTGCCAGTGCACTCCAGCCTGGGCAACTGAGCAAGATCCTGTCTCAAAAAATTATTCCAATAAACCAGGGTTATTCTTAAGGTATTGACCATCTAATATGCCTGCATATTCCAGTTTATTCCAATAAAACTGAAAATAAAATGTGCTTTCTTTGACATTTTATTGTCATAATTAATAGAATTAGAAGTGGTCAATTTTTTTCAACTGTTTACTTGTTGGATCTGACCTGGTAGAATTGAAAAATAAAGAAACTGTTTTAATGTTAAACACCAAATTCTGAAAGCTTTCTGTTAGACTAGGCTAAATAGGAGAAAAATCGGGAATTTGTTTTCATATAGCTATTTTTGCACTTTGTGACATACGCTATTTACCTCCAAAATCTAGTCATATCTTTTCTAATATATTCAGTTTATTCACTCTATGGACCTTCATGAGTGTTTATTTAGCAAGAAAATTTATTGGTCTTGGTCGTAACTTCTTGATCTTTTTTCTTAATGGTTAGATTCTATTCCACGATTGGCAATCTTTTTCTGAAAAAGGCTAGTGTCTTAGTCCAGTAGGACTGTTGTAACAAAATATCATAAACTGGGTGATTTATAAACAACAGAAATTTATTTCTCACAGTTCTAGATTCTGGGAAGTCCAAGATCAAGGCTCCTTCAGGTAAACTGTCCTGAGGGTCTCCTTTCTCATAGAATGTTCGTCCTCACGTGGTGGAAGGGACAGCAAGCTCCCCTGGGGCCTCCTTTATAAAGGCGCTAATCCCATTCTTAAGGGCTCTACCTTCATGACCTAATCACCTCCCCAAGGGGAACATCTCCTAATACCATTGTCAGGCCTTTGAGCATCTCCTAATACCATTGTCAGGCCTTTGAGCCCAAGCTAAGCCATCATATCCCCTGTGACCTGCATGTACATCCAGATGGCTTGAAGCAACTGAAGATCCACAGAAGAAGTGAAAATAGCCTTAAGTGATGACATTCTACCATTGTGATTTGTTCCTGTCCCACCCTAACTGATGCATATATTCTCCCCCACCCTTAAGAAGGTACTTTGTAATATTCTCCCCTGCCCTTAAGAATGTACTTTGTACGCCTATCCCAAACCTATAAGAACTAATGATAATCCCACCACCCTTTGCTGACTCTCTTTTCGGACTCAGCCCGCCTGCAGCCAGGTGAAACAAACAGCCTTGTTGCTCATACAAAGCCTGCTGGTGGTCTTTTCACAGGACGCGAGTGACAACCATCACCTTGGGGGTTAGGATTTCAACATATCAATTCTGGGGAGACGAAAACATTCAGACCATAGCAGCCAGATAGTTAATATTATAGGTGCGTGGACCATGAGGTCTGTTAACTCAACCCTGCCTTTGTAGTGTGAAAGCAGCTATAGATGGTATGTAAATGCAGGTGCATGGAATACACAATAAAAAGTTATTTATAAAAACAGGCAGTGTGCATCTGATAAGGGTCTAATATCCAGAATCTATAAGGAACTTAAATCATCCAACAAGCAAAAGCCAAATAACCCCATTAAAAAATTGTCAAAAGACTTGAACAGACACTTCTCAAAAGAAGACAGACAAGCAGCCAACAAACATATGAGAAGTTTTCTACCCACATTCCCAATCACCAAAGAGAAATGCAAATCAAAACTACAATGAGATACCATCTCATACCACTCACTCTTGGCTATTGTTAAAAAGTCAGGCCAGGCACAGTGGCTGACACCTGTAATCCCAGCACTTTGGGAGGCAAAGGCAGGCAGATCACCTGAGGTCTGGAGTTCGAGACCAGCCTGGCCAACATGGTGAAACCCCGTCTCTACTAAAAATACAAAAATTACCTGGGCATGGTGGTAGGTGCCCATAATCCCAGCTACCCGGGAGGCTGAGGCGGGAGAGTTGCTTGAACCCGGGAGGTGGAAATTGCAGTGAACTGAGATCACGCCATTACATTCCAGCCTGGGTAACAAAAGCAAAACTCCATCTCAAAAAGAAAAAAAAAAAAGAGTGCCCCCGCCCCCCCAAAAAAAGATGCTGATTGGGCTATAGAGAAGAGGCTTACATTGGTGGGAATGTAAATTAGTTCAGCCACTGTGGAAGGCAGTTTGGAGATTTCTCAAAAAACTTAACAGAGAACTACCGTTTGACCCAGCAAGCCTATTACTGGGTATATACCTGAAAGAAAATTAATTGTTTTACCAAAAAGACACATGCACTTAAATGTTCAGGGCATCCCTATTCTCAGTAGCAAAGACATTGAATCAATCTAGGTACCCATCAACAGTGAACTGCATAAAGAAAATGTGGTACATATGCATCATTAAATACTATGGATTGGATAAAGAAAATGTGGTACATATACAATACCACGCAACCATAATAAGAGCAACATCATGTCCTTTACAGCAACATGGATGCAACTGGAGGTCGTTATCCTAAGCGAATTAATGCAGGAACAGAAAACCAAATACAGCGTGTCATCACTTATAGTGGGAGCTAAACAAGGGGTACTCGTGGACATAAAGATAGCAACAATAGACTAGGCACTACTAAGCGGAGGTGGGTGAGGGGATGGGAACAAGGGTTGAAAAATTACCTATTGGTTGGGGTATACTCACTACCCCATTGATGGGATCAGTTGTACCTCAAACCTCAGCATCATGCGATATATCCATGTAACAAACCTGCACATGTATCCCTTGAATCGAAAATAAAAGTTGAAATTATTTTTTATAAAAAGGCAGTCATGTGCTCTATAGCAATCAATAATGGAGAGAAAACAAGCAAAAACATCAGGATAGCATGACTAGTCTATTAAAAATGCTTTTCCATTTCCATGATTTTATTTTAGTACAGAATGAATGAGTATTTTATTCCTATGTTTTTAGTAATAGCAAAAAAAAAAAAAAAAAGGTATTCGGTTTTAGTATACTTATATAAAGATCTGCTTTAACTCGTCAGCCTCTTGTATTATTATTTTCTGTTGTCTTTGATTTTTAACTGTTACGCATTGTTGGAACACAGCAGCTGATTTTGAACAGCTCCAAAATTTAACTCAAAATCCTTTTGGCTGAATATATATTTGTATTTTAACAAACTAAGTCATTAGTGAAGAAATTAGCAGTAACTCTCCTTGTTTTGTAATGGATTGGGGCTTGGATCAGATATAGATTGTGACAGCCATAGAGAATTGCTTCTGTATTCTATAATACCTTTGTAAATGTAAAACTTTGTATTACTTTTCTAAGAATATTAACTCCATTTGAGATGTATGACCCTTTCTACAGGGTTCCTCTGGGGCTGTTCCCAAAACTATGTAACTCTTAGATGTGATGTTTTCTATATGTTGTGTCTAATTGTTGTAAATGGGATCCATTCTCATTGCTGACAAGGCAAGCTTGTTCTGAAAACATGAACACAGAGGTACACGTGTAGCTTTACAAGTTCACCCTAAAATTTCTGATAATGAAATTTATTTTCTCTTCTTTCCTTCTTAAACTTTAAGAAAAGGCATATACTATTTTATCTTTTGTGGTGGCTAGTACCTAAAAATATCACGATTTTTAATCCAGTTTTATACATTGTGTTATTTCTATTTGTTTTTGTCTTATTTTATATATTTCTTTTAACAAACTAAGAAATCTTTTCTACTATAAACCTGGGAGAATGTCGTGATCTTCATGGATTAGGATGCATTGTTGCAGGATTACACTTTCAGTGCCAAGAAGCTTCCTAAACTGGCCCTAACCAGTCTGTCCCCTCCCCACTCACTCTGTACATGAGGCACACCAGATATGCCCCACATTCAAGACTATTCATGCATCTACTGCCCTTCCTTTCCTGGAAAGCCTGAAAAGGGTCGTGAACATATTCTTTAAGGCCCCATCTGCATGTTGCTTTGTTTACTACCTCCCCCGGATAGGATTACTTGCTGCTTCTGCTAAACACCACGTCTCAGTTGTTTGCCTTTTCCTCCCTCAACTGTGATGTCATCATCTTTGGATATTAGTCCCCTCTCCCAAACACCACCTGTCACCTATCACAGTGCCTTGTGACAGTCACATTGAGCACAGATAATTACATGTTGTACTGAATCCACATATGTAGAAAAAGGAAGGCACACTGGTCATTGTATACCAATTAATCACGGTTTTTGTTTTGTTTTTTTTTTTTTTTCCCTCTTTCTTTGTTTTATCTTTAGGCATTCTGGAAGTTTTACACTGTGTTTTAGTAGAAAGTCCAGAAGCTCTAAATATTATTAAAGAAGGACATATTAAATCCATTATCTCACTTTTAGACAAGCATGGAAGAAATCACAAGGTAAATGAAATACTTTGTTTCCCTGAATGAATTTTCAAATCCTTTTAGATACGTTTTTTAAATACAATAACTTTTAAAAAGTGTGTCAAATTTTTCATGAGTGTTTTTCTTCTCTTAATTATTATTTTTTGAGCAGTCGTGCTCTGTCGCCCAGGCTGGAGTGCAGTGGTGTGATCTGAACTCACCGCAACCTCCGCCTCCAGGGCTCAAGCAATTATCCTGTCTCGGCCTCTGGAGTAGCTGGGACTACAGGTACATGCCACTATGCCCGGCTAATTTTTGTATTTTAAGTAGAGACAGGGTTTTACCGTATTGGTCAGGCTGGTCTTCAGCTCCTGACCTCAGGTAATCCACCTGCCTTTCCTCCCAAAGTGCTGGGATTACAGGCATGAGCCACCGTGCCCGGCCTTCATCTCTTAATCATGATCAAGTAATATTGTTTAGTGTTTATTCATAGCATCAGTGGGAACATGAACAGTTCTCAATTTATATATGAGGAAAAGTTGGAAAGTTAGTGGGAAACTACTGTAATGTTTAAATAACTGAGTCAAATGTAACTGGAGGAATGTGTTTGCTTTGTAAAAAGTGCTGCTGATGCTTGATTCTGAAGGGGGAATTAGAATCAGCTGAAAGTGACTGCACACAGTGACTCATGCCTGCCATCCCAGTAATTGGGGAAGCCAAGATGGGAGGATCGCTTGAGGCCAGGAGTTTGAGACCAGCCTGGGTAATATAGCAATACCCTGTCTTTACAAAAAAGAAAAATTAGCCAGGCGTGATGGCATGCACCTATAGAGGCTGAGACAGGAGGATTCCTTGTGCCCAGGAGTTCGAGTCTGCAGTGAGCTATGATCGTGTCACTGCACTTCAGCCTGGGTGACAGAATGAGATGCTGTCAGAAAGGAAGGGAGGAAGGGAGGGAGGGGAGAAAGGATGGAAAGGCAGGGAGGGAGGGAGGATCAACTGAAAGTAATTTCTCTTTTCAGGTCCTGGACGTGTTGTGCTCACTCTGTGTTTGCCATGGGGTTGCAGTCCGTTCTAACCAGCACCTCATCTGTGACAATCTCTTACCAGGAAGAGATCTGTTATTGCAGACACGTCTTGTGAACCACGTCAGCAGGTAAATTCAGACAGACAGTGTCATCTGACAGGCAACATAATAAAAGAATTAATGTTCTTGTCCTGTAGCTGACACTATATGGTCTGTTTTTTAAATTAGACCATATAGTAGTATTTTCTGTATTTTTGCAGTGAATAATATGTCTTTTTCTCTAACAATCAGATGGGATAATAATAAATGAACCTAGCAAAATATGGCTTTGCCACAGACACATGGATAAGAGCTTTTATTCACATTCCTATGTAGATAGATAATCATTGACATACTCAGGACCATCCTGACAACTGTATAGGTATGTGGTTGTATATAATTATGCTTTACATCTTCTTAGAATGTAACTAAAACACTATCCTTCAATATCATTTTTTTAAAATTATTTTTTTGAGACAGAGTCTCACTGTCGCCCAGGCTGGAGTGCAGCGGTGCGATCTCAGCTCACTGCAAGCTCCACCTCCCAGGTTCACGCCATTCTCCTCCCTCAGCCTCCTGAGTAGATGGGATCACAGGCGCCCGCCACCAAGCCCAGCTAATTTTTTTGTATTTTTAGTAGAGACGGGGTTTCACTGTGTTAGCCAGGATGGTCTCGACCTCCTGACCTCGTGATCTGCCTGCCTCGGCCTCCCAAAGTGCTGGGATTACAGGCATGAGTCACCACGCCCGGCCCCTTCAATATCATTTTGAGGTACCTGCTATGTACGATCAAAAATAGAATGTCCAAAATGTAATATATTATGCAAATAACCAATAAAACTACCTCTTCAGTTAGATCTGCCTTCCAAGGCACCTCACGTTCATTGAGTACCATGTGCCAGCTGTGGTGCTAAGGGCTTTATGTGTATTCTATACTGTTTGTGTCTGTGCTTTCCTAGGAACCACTGGGATTCACATTTTATAGACGAAAAAACTGGAACTGGAAGTGGAACTCAGCTCTAAATCCAGAGACTGAGCTTATAACCACCATGCCACACTGCCTTTCTTATCCCCTGTATTAGTCAGGCTTCTCTAGAGGTACAGGATGAATAGGATAGCTGTACATATGAAAGGGAATTTATTAAGGAGCATTGATTCACACGATCACATGGTGAAGTCCCACAATAGGCCGTCTGCAAACTAAGGAGCAAGGAAGTCAGTCTGAGTCCCAAACCTCACAAGTAGGGAGGCCAGAAGTGCGGCCTTTAGCCTGTGGTTGAAGGCCTGAGAGGCCCTGGCAAACCACTGCTAAGTCCAGGAGTCCAAAAGCAGAAGAACTTGGGAGTCTGATGTTCAAGGGCAGGAAACATCCAGCATGGGAGGAAGAGGAAGGATGGAAAACTCAGCCAGTCTAGTCTCTCCACGTTCTTCTGCCTGCTTTTATTCTAGCTGTGCTGGCAGCTGATTAGATGGTGCCCACCCAGATTGAGGGTGGGTCTGCCTCTCTCTGTCCATTGACTCAAATGTTATTCTCCTTTGGCAACACCTTCACAGACATATCCAGGAACAATACTCTGCATCCTTCAATCCAATCAAGTTGACACTCAATATTAACCATCACATCCCCCAGATGAACACATAAATAAATAATAAGAAATAACTGCTTACAATCATAAAATGCTGTGTGTGATAGTAGTAACATTGACACACTGTATCTAGCAGCTAGCCCAGAGATACTGATAACGTCATCCTGTTTTAAACAGAAATGTGGGGTTTGTTGTGTATTTCTATGATGTGTTTTGTTTTTTGAGATAGAGTCTTGCTCTGTCACCAAGGCTGGAGTGCAGTGGCATGACCTTGGCTCACTGCAACTTCTGCCTCCTGGGTTCAAACCTTTCTCCTGCCTCAGCCTCCCAGTAGCTGGGATTACAGGTGCACACCACCACACCCAGCTAATTTTTGTATTTTTAGTAGAGATGGGGTTTCACCATGTTGGCCAGTGTGGTCTTGAACTCCTGACCTCGTGATCCGCCCGCCTTAGCCTCCCAAAGTGCTGGGATTACAGGTGTGAGCCACCGCACCTGGCCAATGTGTGTGTTTTTTAAAAAAAATATTTGATATATATATATACTTATTTCATATTCACTCTATGGCAGAAACTTCTTTACATTTATTCTATTATTCCATCCTCACAACATGCTTGAACTTAGAGATGTTTACCAGCCCATTTTCCAGGAGGATAAATGGAGGATGAGCAAGGTTTCATAACTAGTGCCAGGTCACACAGCTAGCAAATGGATGCTAAAATTTTCTCTCTGACTCAGAAACCCATGGTTTTCCAACTAGACTTCCAACCACACTGTGCTGGAAAAATGGAAATTGTTGGGAAACGGATACAGCTGGTTGTTTTCCTTCGCTCCTTTTGAGGAGCTCCTTTTTAAAGTAAGTCAATTACATATCAAATTATGTTACCTCTGCTGAGCTGGGAAGCAAAGTCCAAACACCTTCTATGTTTTTGTTTGTTTGTTTTACAGTACTGACTTAAGATGTCCTTCATGATTCTTTATATAACAGACCTGCCATTCTTGAGTAGTATGTTCTGAGACCTTCATTCATTTCTACCTACTGCTACCATAGGGTATATGTCGTCTCCTAAAATGGAATTAAATACAAGTTACGAAAAATTTTTCTGTTCACAGTGAGGCTTAATGAACAACAAAGCTGATTAGTTACCTTGGTTCCTTCACAAACAACATGACCTACCTCAGCCCCGTACCCCATGTGACACAAAGCTTAGTTTAGGAAAATTTCTCCATGTCTGGGATTCCTAATAACTCCATTAATTCTAAAAGTCTGCTCTGAGTGTCTCAGTTTGTGACTTAAATACGATTAATGATACACAACGTGCGGAAGAGGAATTAAGACAAAATAACGTTAGTTCCTTGGGTGACACCGCCAAGAAATCTCGGAAGCGAAACTGCTGATGGAATGTTCACAGTGGAGCTGGCTTTCACTGTATACTACTTCAGTGGTAGTTTTCATGATTTTGTTAGTAATTAAGGAAATATATATTTAATATGTGGCATCTTAGAGAAGCATGACTAATGTTTAAAATAGTGAGATGTGGCTGGGCATGGTGGCTCATGCCTGTTATTCCAGCACTTGGGAGGTCGAGGCAGGAGGATTACTTGAGCTCAGGAGTTTGATACCATCCTGGGCATCAAAGCAAAACTTTACTAAAAATTAAAAAAAAAATTAGTTGGGCTTGGTGGCACTCTCCTTTAGTGCCAGTTATTCAGGAGGCTGAGATGGGAGGATTACTTGATTCTGGGAGATGGTGACTGCAATAAACTGTGATTGCATCACTGCACTTCAGCCTAGGCAACAGAGCAAGACCCCGTCTCAATAAAATAAAATTAAATGAAATACAAAAGTAAAATTATGAGATGTAAATGCAAACAATGGAAGGTTTGTCTGGACTTTTCTTACATGCGATTCCTGTCTCTTTAAAGCATGAGACCCAATATTTTTCTGGGCGTCAGTGAAGGTTCTGCTCAGTATAAGAAATGGTACTATGAATTGATGGTGGACCACACAGAGCCCTTTGTGACAGCTGAAGCAACGCACCTGCGAGTGGGCTGGGCTTCCACTGAAGGGTATTCTCCCTACCCTGGAGGGGGCGAAGAGTGGGGTGGAAATGGTGTTGGAGATGATCTCTTCTCCTATGGATTTGATGGCCTTCATCTCTGGTCAGGTACGTGCTGTCCATTTTCTTTCACCATGTTCCAGAAGGAGATCTTTTGCTGGACATTTCTGAAAGCTATTGGTGCTGCTTCCATTGGGTACTTCTATAGGGTATTAATCATTCAGAAATTTAGCATTGAGAGGATGAGTAAGAGTGTTGGGGTAAAAGCAGTATTTCACTAGGGGAAAAAGAAAACACAATTATAGTACGATTTCCAAGGGACTGCCTAGCTTATGAACAGTGCTGTGTATTTAAAGATTTAAATAAGAGTGTATTGCTTAGGAACAATACTGTGTATTTAAAAGTGCATTCCAAAGCATGAATGACTGCAAGAAACTTGTGACTTTTCTGCTTTAATTGGTATGTTTAAAACTTCAGCTGCCAATGGAAAAGAACAAAAAACAAACCTTGGAAAATAATGGGAAGAAATAGACTAAGTTCAGCCTTCTGTTAGATAATGTAATGGTGGGAAATCAATAATTTGTAAAGTGTGGTATGAGGACTCAGATTATAATCAAATGACACTCTGTTTCAGAAGTATAAAATGGTTTAAAAATAAAGGAATAGGTCATTTCACCAGCTACCAACCCTTAGTTTTGATGGTTGAGTATGTATTAAAAATGAGTACTATATATTTAAAAATAATATTCTTTTCTCTGATTCATGAAGAAGTAGAGTTTGGTTAGCTCCATTTAAAAGCTTAGCTCTTGATTATGTAGATTTTTTTAGATGTTAAAATTCTTCTGGATTCTGCAGACATATGCTTATATTGGTAAAGCTGCATTTGGAATATAGTCCTGGTATGATCTTGTCATAGTTTATAAATTATTTAGCATATGGAAGATACAGAAAGTTACCTTAAGTTATAAAGCTGAACTTTGCCTCTTGTGGAGTACAAATGATAGGCATTTATGTATGCTTTATGGGCCTAAAAGCTTATGAAAAGTAGGAAATAAATTGAACTACACCTAAGACTTTATGGTAATGAGTTTATATCTAAAAGCATTCCATGTAGTTGTATGTAACAATGATACTTACTGAATTCTTTCTTCATTGAGTGCCAATAGCTCAATTGTCTAGAAGAGATGAAGCTGTATTTTGTTTTTTCTGTGTGTGTTTATTTATTTATTTATTTATTTATTTATTTATTTCAAGACGGAGTCTTGCTCTGTTGCCCAGGCTGGAGTGCAGTGGTGCAATCTTGGCTCATTGCAGCCTCCACCTCCTGGGTTCAAGTGATTCTCGTGTCTCAGCCTCCTGAGTAGCTGGGACTACAGGCTTGCACCACCATGCCCAACTCATTTTTATACTTTTTTAGCGGAGTCGGGGGTTTCACCATGTTGGCCAGGCTTATCTTGATCTCCTGGTCTCAAGTGATCTGCCTGCCTCCGCTTCCCAAAGTGCTGGGATTACAAGTGTGAGCCACTGTGCCCAGCCTCAATTTTTAATTTTTGTGAGTACATAAAAGGTATATATATTCATGGTGTTGAAGCTGTGTTTTGCATATTTCATCTAACCTCTGAGGAATGTGGTTGGAGTCCTCACAGTACCGTAGACTACTTTATACAAAGGCGACCTGTGCCAGCCAGACTATAGTCACAGTGCCTTGTTCCCATAGGAAATTTTTCCTGTTGACCAACCAGAGATAAAGAGTCCTCACTTCAGAAGACCTATTAAACACAAAATAGGGCTAATGTCCTTGTTATAAAACGTTTTAACTATAATCCTTTAGATACTATTACCTTCTCTCTCTCTAGCTCCTAGTATTACTCTGCAGGAAATAAGTACTCAAATGAATAAATGAAACATGTTAACTTGTTTTCCCATTACACAGAGATTAGATTAAAAAAACATTAATCAACAGTGCCAAGTTGCTTTCATTTAGTCTCTCTATATAATAACATATTTTACTATTTTTGTTTTGTATTCAATTTGAAGCTTTTTCTTTCAATACATTAAAAGTACCTGGTTCTTATGGAATTGAATTGTATGCATTATGCCTTTTATTACAAAGTATCTGTTAAATAGAATAATAAGAACAACAACAAAAAAATTTAGTGAATCTGTGGACATGTACCAGAAAGGATGGTAGGCACTGGAGTTTCAAGAAAAGCATCTTAAAATTTTATTCATTTTTTTAAATGGCAAGAAAAGATGTATCATATCATGTCTGTACTTGAAAAGTATTTTCTCTCAAGCCACTGGGGGTCTATTAAATGCTTTGCTGATTTTAGATTCATAATCAATAAAGACAGATCTAAATTAGTTGGAATGTGAGTTATGAAACTCGAATTCATAGTAACAGATAACCTTCTTGGGGGTCATTCTCCTATTTTCTTCTTAATGGTTGATGTACAATTTAAAGTATCAAATATCAGTAATTTCTAGGTTGGAGCACATTCTCTGCCACTTAACATTCTGTAATTGGAGAGTGTCAGTATTTCTTGGAACAAGGATTGGGCTCATAAGGAAAAGTTTTTACTTATGTCTTCATTTCTTCTCTTCAATTTAACCTTTGTGGTGTTGCTACATTTCCTCTCTGTCAATGCAGAACTGGATTTTGGGAATCCAGGTCCCAGGTGTTTGAAAGGACCAAAAGTATAAAAAGTCTTGGTGCTTTGAGAGAATTTAAATATAGAATTAGTGTGGAGGAATGTACAGGAAACATGGGTACAGGTTTCTAATACAGGATCTATCAAGCCATCATATCCCTCAAAGTGAACAATATATTTGATTATCATAGATATCTTGTAAACAACATTGCTATTAGCTACAGATCTTGGTACAAACAAGAAACTAGACCTTTTCCTGCATTGCTTTTATTTGATTTTTTAAAAAGCTACCTTTATTATATTCAGGGAATTCTAGAAGAGACACTTGATAGTGAATTTATTGCCTGTGGATTTGAATATTGGTAAAATAAAAAGTGTCCACATTTTAAAAAAATAGGTATTCTTTACTACTGGCATTTCAAATATGTCCTTGGTAGAGATATTGGCATGCTAGAAGTAAAAAGAATTATTAAAAATACAAAGCATGTATCACAAAGTCTGTTTTTGTCTTCGCTCAAATTGAAGGTTTTGTTTATGTTTGTGAGCATGTGTGTTTGGGTGGACCTTGCCTTCTTTTCTTCCAGCGTGCAGTGAGAAGCAGATGCTCTTGGGACTGATTAGCAAAGGAGTTCTTAGAATCAGGAATGGGCTTAGACCATAGGTTGGTCTTGCCAGGGCAAGAAACAACATTTATCAAATATCATTTCCATGCCTCCAGTTATATCCTGCTTTACTTAAGAAGCCAACCAAGATCTTGTGTGAAATAAACGTAAAACAAAAACCAATTGGCCTGTAGTTATCTCACAATAAACAACGTGCTGCAGGAATGAATGATCATATTTTCTGCTTTCATTATCTTTATGTATTTTTATTTTAAATTGATAGAATGATGGGATTTTAGCATTTGACAAAGGGATGGACATGAAGTATCTGCTGTGCCTGAGACTCCGTCACTTGTAAAACATTAATCATCAAAATAACTAAACAAGGGGATGGTATTTGGTGTTCTGTTGATAAGACATCAACATTAAGAGAGGTTAAGTAATTTGGTTATGGTCTCACAAGCAGTAGATGGTAAGGTAGCTATTTGAAGTCCCTGGAGATGTTCCTTGGACATCATTATATAATCTGCTCTTAGATAATTTCTGGATCGATTGTCATCCATCTACATGCGGAAATTTCTGTGTATCAGAAGGTGTATTTTACAACATAGGTAGCAGCCTGACTCCTGAAATAGTCAATTTTTTTGACAAAGGGTTTAACATGTAACATGCGTTTATATTCAAGATTTATTCCTTCTGGTGTTGCGCATTGGTTTGTCACTACCTATTCAAATCTTTTGACTTTGGCTCTGAAGCTGATTCTCTGAGGTAAAAAATACATGACCTTCCTTAATGTTTCTCCCCCCCAATAGGTTGTATTGCTCGTACTGTAAGCTCACCAAACCAACATCTGTTAAGAACTGATGATGTCATCAGTTGCTGTTTAGATCTAAGTGCCCCAAGCATCTCGTTCCGAATTAATGGACAACCTGTTCAAGGAATGTTTGAGAATTTCAACATCGATGGCCTCTTCTTTCCAGTCGTTAGTTTCTCTGCGGGAATAAAGTTAGTATGTCTATGTTTTTTGGTCTCTTTCCTTTCTCATTTCTCATACCTCCGCAGAAGACTCTGCACTGCCATTGCCCTGCTTCTCTAACCATTGTTTCTCTCTCCTGGGCACCTGTCCTCAGCGCATTTTTGCCCATGCCTTGAAGGAGGAGGTAAGGCTCACCTAAGAGGGCATCGTGCAAGGCTGAGTGCTTTGTTTACGGATCCCACTGTGTTTAGATGTGGGCAGTCTCGCTCAAACCAGTGTCCTGAACTATTTCAAGGTTTTTTTCTTTTTTTGGTTTATTTCGATGAAATGAGCAAGGCTGTTTAGAAAAGTACTGCTTATTTTCTTATATTTTCATTGATTTTCCTTTTTTAGGCCATAGTTCTTCACCCCATTGCACACCTCCTTATTTCAATAGAAATTAAATATCCTTTTTGTTGATGAGGCCCAGGTGGCCTTCTTTAGTGTTCCTCTCCACCTTTATTCTCTTTATTCCTTTGTTCTCTGCTTGTGGTCAATGGTGCCAAGATGGTTTCCTCACACTCTTTCCTTTTTTGCTATTACTGGAGGGAAACAAAGTGATAATCCATTGTAGTTCTACAAATAAAACTTGAATAAATGATGGTCTGTTATAATAAGTAACTACTCTGTCACTTATTTTTATATACACACACACACCTGTAAACTTAGAAGGACACCCTTTGTTTTAGTCATAATTCTCCCAGGAATAATTCCTAGTTACAAAAGCAGCATATTGAAGAAGGAATAGAGTAATCATGAATATTAGCTATCCATGTACCAGCTCTTTTTTCTGATGTATTTATACAAATTATGTTTCTATAAGCTTCTGGAATGTTTTAGCATTTTTATTTTTCTTTCTTTGCTTTTATTTTTTTGGACTGGACCTGATACACAAATTAGAAAAAGAATTATGGCCAGCTGCGGTAGCTTGCACCTGTAATCCCAACACTTTGGGAGGCCGAGGTGGAAGGATTGCTTGAGGTCAGGAGTTTGTGACCAGTCTGATCAACACAGTGAGACCCTATCTCTGCAAAAGTTTTGTTTTGTTTTGTTTTTCGTTTTGTTTCTTTAATTAGCACCTAGTGTTGTGTGCCTGTAGTCTTAGCTACTTGGGAAGCTGAGTTGGGAGGATCCCTTGAACCCAGGAGTTGGAGGCTGTAGTAACCTGTGACTGTATCACTGCACCCCTGCCTGAACAACAGAGTGAGACCTTGACTCAAAAAAAAAGTACAAGGAAAATGGAACATTTAAATTCATTTTTTGTAAATCCGAGAGCCCCAGGAAACAGATATCATTTAACTGTTTCAAAAAGTGTTGTTCAATGGAACTCAGATTAAAATAGTTTTGCTTAAATGAGCAGAATGTCTAAAAGATTTTAGTAAGTTCTTTTTTGTTGTTGAAATTGATAAACAATTAGCAATAAGGTTACCTGCTTCCTTCAATCTGAAGAGACATCAGAATCTCCTTTAAAGCAGCAGTCCCCAACTTTTTTGGCCCTAGGCACCGCTTTTGCCGAAGACAGTTTTTCCACGGGCCAGGGCTGGGGTTGAAGGTGGGGATGGTTTCAGGATGAAACCGTTCCAGCTCAGATCATCAGGCATTAGTTCGATTCTCATAAGGAGCATGCAACCTAGATCCCTCACAGGCACAGTTCACAATAGGGTTCACGCTCCTATGAAAATCTCAGGCCGCTGCTGATCTGACAGGAGGCAGAGCTCAGGCGGTAATGCTCTCTTGCCCACACAGCTCACCTCCTTCTGTGCAGCCTGGTTCCTAACAGACCACAGACTGGTACCTGTCGCGGCCTGGGAGTTGCGCACCTCTGTTTTAGAGAATTTCATTAGGAAATTGAAAAGTGACTGGTTTTCCCCTCATTCCTTGTTAAGTCCTGTAATTTTAAGCATATAGATATTTCGATCAGGTCTTTCCTTTATCTGTTGATTACGTGGGTACTTTGGGGCATTAGGTGACCAGTTATTATGGATATGCACTTCATTTCCGTAAGATTGTAGTGCATGTGCTTTTAGTTACTTCTCCAGCAGGTGATGTCTTCACTGACCCATTAATTAGCTGAAGGTTTTCTCTTCTGATGAATATGATGCCCTCAGGTTTTACCTTTTACAATTAGAGGCCCTTGAATTCTAAGGTGATCACATTATGATGGTACTTAGAGGAAAATGTGGCTTCTGATAAAATTACTTTTGTACTAATAATTTTTCCCTGAGATTTTGTTAATTAGAAAACTTTAATGTACACCAGAGATAAAACGGACTCTAACATGCATCCTTTTTAGAGTACGCTTTCTGCTTGGGGGGCGACATGGAGAATTCAAATTTCTTCCTCCACCCGGGTACGCTCCTTGTTATGAAGCTGTTCTGCCAAAAGAAAAGTTGAAAGTGGAACACAGCCGAGAGTACAAGCAAGAAAGAACTTACACACGCGACCTGCTGGGCCCCACGGTTTCCCTGACACAAGCTGCCTTCACACCGATCCCTGTGGATACCAGCCAGGTACCAAGATCCACTCAAATGGCAATCACTGGTGATGCAGTCATTCTGATACGCAGTGGCTTTACACTTGGTCCGCAACCCATGGAAATGGATTTCACAGTGATACAGTTGTACAGTTGACACGCAGGACTGAAACGAGACTCATAAAATAACACTTACCTTTACCATGTCCACTCACTCATTTTCTTTTCTATGTTTTTTTTTTGTTTGTTTGTTTTATGTTGTTTTTGTGATGGAGTCTTGCTCTGTTGTCCAGGCTGGAGTACAGTGGCACAATCTTGGCTCACTGCAATCTCTGCCTCCTGGGTTCAAGTGATTCTCCTGTCTCAGCCTCCCAGGTAGCTGGGATTATAGATGCCTGCCACCACACCTGGCTAATTTTTGTATTTTTAGTAGAGATAGGGTTTCATCACGTTGGCCAGGCTGGTCTTGAACTCCTGACCTCAGGTGATTCACCCACTTCAGCCTCCCAAAGTGCTGGGATTATAGGCATGAGCCACTGGGCCCGGTCTCTATTCTATGTTTTAAGTAGTTTTCCTAGCCCAATAAACTGATTCCCTGATGTACAAACAGATTACAACCTGAAGTGTTAAAAACTCTGTTCAAGTTTGTCTTTAAAGTTTTATTAAAATAATTAATATTACTTAGCTTATAAAGTGCATATTACACTTTTAAAAATAGGCAATAATAGCAACAGGTGGAACTTAGTGGGCAAAAATCATACAAGAAATTTTAAGGTATAATAGTGTTAAGATGATTTAATATCTGGGGTAACATACTGCACTTGAAGTAATATCATACAGATGTGACACATACTGATTTTAGAGTGTAGTTCTTAAGCCCCCGGCCTTTTTGGCACTAGGTACCGATTTCCTGGAAGACTATTTGGCACCAGCCAGTGGGCCGGGGTTGAAGGTGGGGATGGCTTTGTCATGAAACTGTTCTCTCTCACATCGTCAGGCATTAGTTAGATTCTCATAAGGAGTGCGCAGTTCACAATGGGGTTCACACTCCTGTGAGAATCTAAGAAGAATATAGAGAAAGATGAGGAACCTGTATAGGAAACATGGAGTTTTTAATTTCTTCTAATTTCCTTCTTGGATACACTTCTTTGGAAGATATTGAACTGACTTTTATCTTGGGTATAGATGAGGATCGTGAGCTCTAGAGTCAAAATGCCTGGCATCAAGGGCCTACTCCCTGCTTAGAGGAGCTGCTCACCTTGTTTATTGGGATGCTAAGAGTATGTTTGTCATAGTTAATAGATACCATATTACCTGGCAAATAGGCGCCCAACAGATGTTAGCTGTTTTCCTCTTTTTCTGTTTCATAGATATAACGGTGTTCTGAGGTTGGCAATGAATTAGATATGGATTTATATTGATGGTGAAGTAGCTTCAGTGAGGTTGGTTAGATATTCAAAGTTTGCTTATTAGTGTTTAAAGATCAAAGACGTTGTTTCTAAAGTCTGAAGTTGAATTAATCGCCTGCCTCAGAAGCTTCAGTTGCTTAGCAGTCAGATGTTTAGCTCCTTGAATCGTATTTCTTCTTCCCCCTTTTTATATCATGTTGTTAAAATAAACATGCAAACATTGTTCCCGGCCAGAATTCAGTTTGCATTGCCCGTTTGCTGAAAGGTGGGAGGATATCTGTAGTGCAACCTAAGTTTATAGGAAAAAAGGTTTGGGAGGCTAGAAATGGACAACTAGATGATGTCATGGTAGAACCTTAAAGATTACCTGAGACCCAGATAACCTCTATCAGGGAAAGGAAACAATTATCACCTGCTTCTCGTGGAAATGCCACCTCATCATTGGGCATTGTGGTCATTTGCCCACTCTGTGTGTTGTGAGACTAGCTGTGGGGTCACACACAAGTGCTTAATCAAGACATAAACAACCAGTCCCTTACTTTGTGTTTTTTATGAACATTCAGTTTCTTCCTTTTATTGGGAACATGTAAAGATTTTGTTTCTTTTCTGTAAGGCTTATATTTAGAAACCACTAACAGTAACAGAGTAGAGTGTAGGGGAAGACATCAATCACTAGAGTCAGACATTTACATGCTCAAAGAGCCGACGGATTATCATGTGAGCACTGAATTGCCTTTACCCTGGCTTATGACTGCTGGCCCAGTTGGTGCAAGAGCTTTGGGGCAATTTCTCGTTTTAAGTCATACATTCCTTGGCAGTAGCCCCATATCCATTAAACATCTTTCGGTTGTCCCCACCAACACTCCTTTGTGTGTGTGTGTGTGTGTGTGTGTGTGTGTGCGCGCGTGTGTGTGTGGCTCATAAATTGATTTGGAAACCTAAGTTGTCAAAAAAAAGTCCCAAAATTTATTTAAAGAATGTCATGAAGTAGATGACTTAAAACTCTGTTCTATGATTACTGGTTTATGAGGCAGTTTTATTTAGTTCAGTTTGAAGCGAAGACCATTGGCACCGCATCTTATTGCATTTGTTTCTGATGTCTTTTTTTTTTTCCTTTTTGTAAATTTTAGATTGTGTTGCCTCCTCATCTAGAAAGAATAAGAGAAAAACTGGCAGAGAATATCCATGAACTCTGGGTTATGAATAAAATTGAGCTTGGCTGGCAGTATGGACCGGTACGTAATTTTGAAATTTATTTTCGGATTCTGTTAACACATCTTTCTGAAAACAGAACTTTTTCTCCCTTTTCCTGCTTTGGGGTGACATCAATCAATTAGATTGATGTTTTCCCCCCAGCACATTAGTTTTTGTGCAGTTTTGCATTACTACATGATTGTAGTTAATGGGGCTGACAGGCATTATTGGCAGGTTCACTGAAGGATGGTCTAGCTGCTTAGACAATGGAAAGTTATCTGTCTCTGGGCTGCAAGTTATATTTTCAAATCAAGGTTAACATACACAGATAATAGGCATTGATTTTTAAGCCACTTAAAAAAATCTCAGTGAAATTGAAAGTGAAAACTGAAAGTGAAAAGAAGGCAATTTACTTTTCCCTCACTGATGTTTCTTTTCTTTCAGTACCAATTGTGTGTAAAAGCAGGAGACCTGTGGGCAAACGTTCCTAGTTGGTTTTACAGGTAGAATAAAGGCTGAGAAATCGTGACTGCACATGCTTCTAAATGATACTCTGCTAAAGATCTTAGTTTACAACTTAATATAATTTAGATTTAAAACAAACAACTTCCTGTATAATCCTAGTGTATATCATATACTTGTTTGTGTCAAAACCATGGTAATACTTTCATTTGTATGATATCATTCTAAGTGTCCCAAAGGCTGTAACACTTTCTTATACCTGAGTGAATAGGGAAATTAATGTATTTACTCATCATAGTTTATTGCGTTGAGCTCTAAATAAAGAATACTTAATGTTCGTAGTAGTATCGTGTGATACTCCACACTACTCAGTAATATTTATATATTTATTCAGTGTCTTGCATTCTCACATACAGATTATTAGGTCAAATAATTGTCTCACATACAATTATTAGGTCAATCATCACGGTGAACTGGGTTGTACTATTATTTCAGTTGTACTGGTGATGACCTAACGGAGACTTCTTGCAGTTGCTAAATGCCTTGGCAGGCATCACGTAACTAGTGAGTACCAGCTCCAAGACTGGAATCACGGTTTTCTCAGACAGAATTTAGAAAGTGACTGCAGGTCACTGTAAGGCTTGCTGAAGCATGACTAGAAAATGGGATACTTTGATTAACTAAATGATAGTTAGACATTTGTTACCCCAGCAAACCCTTGGGTACCTAGTTTTGTGCTACATTCATCAATTTTTTTGTTTGTTTGTTTGTTTTTGAGATAGAGTTTCACTCTTGTTACCCAGGCTGGAGTGCAGTGGTGTGATCTTGGCTCACTGCAACCTCCACCTCCTGGGTTCAAGCGATTCTCCTGCCTCAGCCTCCCAAGTAGCTGGTTTTACAGGCATGCACCACCACACCTGGCTAACTTTGTATTTTTAGTAGAGACAGGGTTTCACTATGTGGCCAGGCTGGTCTCGAACTCCTGACCTCAGGTGATCTGCCCACCTCAGCCTCCCAAAGTGCTGGGATTACAGGCCGGATGACAGGCACAACCAGCCTCATCAATTCTTAAAATTGAAGGATATGTATAAATGCGACATAAAAGACTGAACCATCTATTAGTCGGTAGGAAGAGAGATGCTACAAATGTGTAAGTAATCAGTTGCCAGAGGAATTATAGGCAGCATTCCCCAGAAGTTTCAAAAATAAGAAAAGATGATTAGAGGCCAGGTCGATTTTTTTAAAAGTTCTCATTAAAAAAAAAAAAAACCAACAAAATGTAAAACAAGCAGCAAAACCCCATATTGTAATAGCAAATATTTCAGTGGGCTTCTAAGATGATCTCCGCTGCAAACTCAGTATAAGTTCACCTAAATGATTATGTTTTCAGTGAAGTCTTAGGAGTGTTTCTTCTTTAAGAACTGACTAAAATATAAAGTCTCATTATTATTGATTCTTCCAGTTAAATTTAGTTCTGCTTGATACCATACATCATATTCCTGCCATGTTCAAGACACTCTTTGGGTTTTCAAGTACTAAACTAAAGGATAACACAGTACTGCGAGGCTTCTTGTCCACAATTGACTCAAGCTATCCTTTGCTGGATCTGAGGCCAGTTGAGGCAACACTGGGCTTGCTGTACCTCTGCGGGAGACACTGAGCCCTGGGTCTGCTGCTGTTGTGTTAGCAGCCACACCTTTCCTGGCGCGGGAAGTGTTCTCTCATCAATGTATGATTTGCAGCCTGCTTTTTTTCCAAGACCTTCCCTGAAACTCCTGTTTGTGTAGTAGTTATAATCCTTGACCTTGGTCTGTTATTCTAGACTAAGATATGTGCCTGTTACTATGCTAATTTCATAAATTCATTAACATTTTAAATGAGGTTTTGAAGTATTCAAGTATGATTTTCTTTGGAGCAATTTATACTTAGCTACCCAGCATGCTGGATTTTTTTTCCAAAGAAGTTATCATTTCTTTGGGATGTATTTCCCAGAAGCATGGTGCAAAGGCTCTAGTTTATGGACTAAGAAGGCAAATCCATCTATCATTTATTTGTCCCTTTAACATTCATTGTATGTCTATTTGCCTGGTGTGTTTAGTCCTGGGGACTCAGTTTTGAAAAGACCTTGACTTTTAAGGTACTGTGTTTGCCTTCTAGGCGCTTCCTGTTTAGTTGAATGATAGGTAGGCAAACAATTACAGAGTAAAGAAGTAATATTTAGCTCTTCCCAGGGAAATCAGGGAAGGCTTCCAGGAGGAGGTAAATGTTTGAGCCAAGGCTGAGGGATGTGTGCAAGATAGCTGGCAATCAGAAAGCATGACCGTGTAGTAGGCAGAGGACCTGGCATGTGTAAAAGCGAGGAGGCAGAAGAGACAGGACGTTTGCCATGACCATTCAGTGGTGCAGTGTTACAAGAGGACACCTCTGCTGTGGTGCGGAGAAGAGGTGGGAAGCCAGGCCATGTACGCAGGAAGTGTGTCACAAAAGGCTTTGGGAAGAAGATGATTTTATTCTGTAGGGGGCTAAACAGCATTGAGAAATGCTTAGCAGGAAGGTGACAGAATTCTGTCTGCTTTCAAAAGAAGCTCTGCTGTGAATGTGGAGAAGCAGAGAGCCTGGGGGCAGGAGGAGGGCAGGGAGAGGGCACAGGCACCCCAGGTGAGAGGCGACTCAGAGCCCCGCAGCGGAGATAAAGAGCCGTGGTTACAGGAGGTGTTTCGGTGTTCGTGTATGGGGTGTCGCAGGAGAAGGAAGGGAATCTGCGCAGATTTCTCATTTTGTTTAGACGCTTGAGAAGATGATGGTGTTAGTTATTCTCTGGTGTAGAGAGTACAGACAAAGTGGAGATGACCTAAATGGGGAGATTGTCTCCGGGTTCAGACACATTCATTTTATAAATGTTCATTTTGTGTTTCATTTGTAGGATTAGAGATTTAGAGTTTAGAGTTACATTACATAACTCAATTTCATTTTCAGAGTTCTGTAATTAAATAAGTATACCTAATATATGATTCTATATAAGTCTTGTTCATTTGTAATGATGACCAGAAGGAAAGGAATAAATACATCATTTCTAACTTGGTGACTGCTGAAGACTTGAAAAAAACTCACTCATGTTTGTGTACTTCTTGTGTGGCATTTATAGGACCTGGTAATGATGCTCATGAAGTAATTTGTTCCTTGACAGCATATGGGTTGCCATCTAGGTGCTGCCATAGCATTAATGCCGATGCAATTTAGGTCTTTGAGAAGATAACAAACCTAATTACTAATGCAAGGAGAGAGAACATCTTTCTCATTAATTCATTCCTAAAACCTTGCATTTAGTTTAATGTGATAGCTAATATACAGTTTCAAGGAGTAATATAAAAACCACCTGCATATGATGCTACTGAATTTTGTGAAGGTAGTAGGGTAATTTGTGAGATCGAGAGTAACGTGCAGGGGGTAAAATGAACAGCCAGAGCCACCTCAAAGTGTTTATGTCAGTCAGTCCTGTCGTTAATTGATGTCTGTAATCAGTTTGGTTCTATACAGGAAAATTACTACGAATTAAAACAAAGTCGTTACCACACCCTTCTTACACAGGATTTATTTCAATTTATAAAACGTGTCAAGTACCCAGGACATACCAGGAATGTTTAAGGTGTTTGGGACACATCAAAGAACAAAAGAGACCAAAATCTTTGCATTTTTGATCTTCTAATTCAGGGAGACACACAATAGCCCCATAACTCAATAAATCCAATCTGTTAGAAGGTATATGGACAAAAAAGAAAAAAAAAAAAAAGAGTAGGGTGGACAGGCAGACTGTCCTAATTAGGCAATTGGGAGGGGTAAACCTCGCTGAGAAAGTAAGATATAAGCAAATGCTACAAGGAGCTGAGTGAGTGAGCCTATGGGAATCTGGGGTAGGAGTCTGCATGGTGGGGGCTCATGGAAGCTCTGCCAAACAGAAGAGAAGGAACGAAGATAATTCCAGCTTCTACCAGTGACCTCAGATATTCACTGCATCTGAGAGGTTGTGGGGGTAGCTTTGAGGGGTTGATGATCTGGGTGTTCCTTCTTGCCTTCCGCCTCCACTTTCCACTACACAGTTGAATTCCATTGCTAGTGCATGGCATTGGAGACTATTATATGTCAATTTCCTATCCTGTTTCAGGTTAGAGATGACAACAAGAGACAGCACCCATGCCTGGTGGAGTTCTCCAAGCTGCCTGAACAGGAGCGCAATTACAACTTACAAATGTCGCTTGAGACCCTGAAGTGAGTTTCTTAACTTTTTCTATTTTCCAATCTGTGTTTCCGAAAAACACAAAAACCAAAACACAAAAACAGGTATCGATGTTATATGTTAATTCAGCTGTGAAGTGATTTTTAATTGCAGCTAGAACTTTTGATAATGCATAAGTGGATTGGATCAGTATTTGTTGAGAATAAGACTTTGACCCTGTTCATTTATGTCCTTTTGTTCTACATCAGTATTTCGCAAAGGGTGTCCTACAGATATTTATGGGAATTATGGATGATGAGGATTTTGTGATCTGTTGCGGGAAGTCAGGGACCCTGAATGGAGGGACCGGCTGAAGCTGTGACAGAAGAACATAAATTGTGAAGATTTCATGGATATTTATTAGTTCCCCAAATTAATACTTTTATAATTTCTTACACCTGTCTTTACTGTAATCTCTGAACATAAATTGTGAAGATTTCATGGACACTTATCACTTCCCCAGTCAATACCCTTGTGATTTCGTAAGCCTGTCTTTACTTTAATCTCTTAATCCCATCATCATCTTCGTAAGCTGGGGAGGATAAATGTCGCCTCAGAACCCTGTGATGATTGTGTCAGCTGCACAAATTGTTTGTAGAGCATGTGTGTTTGAACAATGTGAAATCTGGGCATCTTGAAAAAAGAAAACAGGATAACAGCAATGTCAGGGAACACCAGAGATAAGACTTCTGGCTGCGGGTGAGCCGGACAGAACAGAGCCATATTTCTCTTCTTTCAAAAGCAAATAGGAGAAATATCGCTGAATTCTTTTTCTCAGCAAGGAACATCCCTGAGAAAGAGAATGCACCCTGAGGGTGGGTTTATAGACGGCCCCCTCAAGGCATGCCATCTTTTGTGGTCGAAGCCGAAGGGATGAAATAAGCCCCGGTCTCCTGTAGCGCTTCCAGGCTTATTAGGATGAGGAAAATTCCCACCTAATACATTTTGGTCAGACAGATTGTCTGCTCTCAAACCCTGTTTCCTGATAAGATGTTATCAATGACAACGCGTGCCCGAAACTTCATTAGCAATTTTAATTTCGCCCCATCCAGTGGTCCTGTGATCTCACCCTGCCTCCATTTGCTTTGTGATATTTTATTACCTTGTGAAGTCTGTGATCTCTGTGACCCACACCCTATTCGTGCACTCCCTCCCCTTTTGAAAATTGCTAATAAAAACTTGCTGGTTTTAGGGCTCGGAGAACATCATGGATCCTGCTGACATGTGATGTCTGCCCTGGACACCAAGCTTTAAATTTCTCTTGTGCTCTTTCCCTTTATTTCTCAAACCAGCCAAGATACTTAGGAAATAGAACAGAACTCATGTAACTATCGGGAGTGGATTCTCCCGATAGTGATCTGATACAATACAGGTCCACAAAATGTGGACTGTGGACCAGGGACTGGGCCAGTCACAAATTGTTACTGATTTGTGACTAAATAAGATATTAAGAGTAAGTATTTATAAACTTCTATACCAATTTAGGGAAGCAGTTTTACATATATTGAATCTAATAATTTAAGAAATGTGAGGTCATAGCCTATATGTCTTCATTTTGAGAATTCAATTTTCTCTAACAGTTTTATTGCATGATATCAGAAAATGAAACCCGAATATTAAAAAATAAATTACTTCTTCACCATAAGTAATTTGGGAAGCACTGATTTAATATATTTAAAACATGCTAAATTCAAAGAGTTAAATAATTTCAAAATTTTTGCTGATGGACTTTTCAGAACTTTGGGGTGAAGTCTGTTTATGGTATTTACTAAACTTATTTGACCATAGCAGCCTCTTTTCAGAGCATACCTTTGAGGACTATTTATCTGAGCAACATATCTTTGGTTTTGTTTTAGTTTTTTAAGGAGCCAAAGTCAGCTGGGCACAGTGGCTCATGCCGGTAATCCCAGCCCTTTGGGAGGCCAAGACCAGTAGATGGCTTGAGCCCAGGAGTTTGAGACCATCCTGGGCTACATAGTGAGACCCCCTGTCAACAAAAAATATAAAACTTATCTGAGCATAATGGCACACACCTGTAGTCTCAGCTGCTCGGAGGCTGAGGTGGGAGGATGGATTAAGCCTGGGAGATTGAGGCTCCAGTGAGCTGTGATCACACCACTACACTCCAACCTGGATGACAGAGCAGGACCCTGTCTCAAAAATACTAGTAATAAAAATAAATTTAAAAGGAGCCAGAGTCTTACTATGTTGCCCAGGCTGGTGAGCAATGGCAATTCATAGGCTTGACCATGGCACACTGCAGCCTACAACTCCTGAGTTCAAGTGATTCTCTGGCCTCAGTCTGGGTATCTAGGGCTAAAGGAGCTTGCCACTGCATCCAGCCTGAGCACGTGTTTTGAGAAAAGCTACTGTAGAGTATTTTATATCACCTGTAAAGGCAAATTTGCTTTTTAGTGATTGTTGCCAATTTACCTCTTGATTTTGCCACTTAACTTTGCGGATGGAATAATGGGACTGCAGTGGAATAAAGGAAGAAATATAATTTCAGATTTTGATATAGAAGAGTAAAGAGAATGTTTTTGCAAAGCTGGTAACTTTACTCTTGTCCTCTTTCCATCCCTGATGCCCTGTAGAACTGGATTTGTTCAAATAGATGACTTATCCTAATATGTTTTTATATTATGTACAAAACTATACTTTAGTCCTTTTTGCTTGTTTCAGTTTTGTTAAGAGTCATAAGGAGTTATTTACACTGGAATTATTTTAACAGGGACCCAGAACACAAAACTTAAACTTCATTTCAAATTCTAGAATTTGGGCTCAGTTATGTAGTCATGAGCTCTGCCTAACAGTGTTTGGCTTAATGATGGACTGCATATAGGATGGTGGCCATGAGATTACAATGGAGCTGACAAATTCCTATCACGACATCATGGCAGTCCTAACATCCTAGTGCAATGCATTGCTTTTTCTATATTTAGATACCCAAATACTTACCATTGTGTTACAGTTGTCTACAGTATTTGGTAAAGTAACATGTACAAGTTTGTAATCTAGCTGCAATAGGCTCTATCGTATAACTTAGGTGTGTAGTAGGCTCTGTGATCTAGGTTTGTACAAGTATACTCTATAATATTCACATAATGCTGAAATCGCCTAAAGACCCATTTCTCAGAGTGTATCCCCATTGTGAAGTGATGTATAACTCTATATCCTCCAGGATGCAGATTGTCTTGTAAATAAACATATTAGGCATAGATTGAGCTTAGGTTCTACTAGGAACTTAAAAGAAGAAGTGATAAATACACATCAAGTAAACTGAGAACCAGAGGTTAAAAATTACAAGGTTTGCTTGTAATAAAGAATACAGCCCTGTGTCCTGAGTACTTGGATTCAGCATCTCTGATCTTACTTTGTGCTCTTGACATGAGGCTTGTATATTTAGCTTAGTAATTCATGGCAGCTCATTATTTCTTCATCTTTTACAACAGAATGTTTTATTGAAAGGTCATGGTCTAACATAATTTAAATTTGCAGTGCGTTCCCTATCATTTTAGCAATTGACACCTGAGCCAGCTATTGCAGAGAGTAAATTCTGGACTGTAGAAATCTCTGTATTTGCATTTAGCATGTTGTGCCTTTGACTATTACATGTAATCCAGTGTCATGCCTACCAGCTGCTGGTGGCTGGTTTGGTTAATCTTCAGACTGCACATACTGTGGTTTTATTCTCTCTGATGAATGTAAATCACCCTCTTCACAAGCAAATGCTTAACATTTCTTTGTTGATTTTCTTACAGCTAGTTTATATGGTTTTATGATGGACTGATTTTTATTTATTTATTTACAAATCGAATTAGGGGAAAACACCTATACTTCTCTAAGATTCGTACCATGCCCAATTCCAGGGGTTTAGAGAAAGTACAGTACTGTCTTCCTGTATTTCCTGTATTCACTTATTTAATTGGCAGTCCCCAGAGCAGGGTAGGTAAGAACACAGACTCTGGAGTTGGGTTGTCTGGACTTAAGGCCTTATTCCACCAAAGAAATGTTGCTGAAGTCACTCAACTCCTCTGAACCCTAGGTTTTCTTCTCCTTAGTAAAATGAGGATCATAATGTATTTTCTTCATGGATTTATTATAGGGACTAATAGGCTATTGATAAAGCCTTTAGCAACATATGTCTGACAGAGGAAGCATAGTGTAGGTTTTTTTGTTTGTTTGTTTAATAAATATATCGTGGGAGGGTGAACAGCTTCATTTGTTTAAATCTTTAGAAGTTCCAAATAACAAATAAGCAGAAATTATTCCAGAATATCCCTTATTTCGGGTTGAGGAGTGATTTAATGAAATATGAATTTTGGGTGCTGTTTCTGTGATTTTTTAACATAAATTGTTGACAGTGACAACTTACTTTAGACTTTCATCATCATCATCTGTGTATCGTATAGTACTGCAAAATTGGGACACTCTCAGAACAGCACAGCTTGGTGGATCATGCCTGCCAGACACCCCTCAAATGTGATCAGTGTTACCAAAGGTTCAATTTCTGGTTTAGTTTTTATTATTTTCCAAATTCCAGATCTAAATTTCTGAATAAACAGTTCACATTTTAGAAATAATTGATATAAGGATTTTTAATCAACATATAATGCACATTCATAGAATTTATTTCTTTGGAAGTTAGCAAAAATATGGTGACACTACAATGATATTTTTTCCCCTAGCCAAATATTTTTCCTGAAAATTATTTTTAGATGATGTAGTGTGCTTGTGCACGTATGTGGCAAAGGGTGGGACGAATAGTAGGGACCCAGGACACGGGGATGGGGAGGAAAGCAATATGGAAGGGAGACAAATAACTGATAAGGGGAGAGGTGGAATTTTTGTCCAAGACAGCAAGTTAGTTTCTCTTTTTTTTTTTTTTTTTTTTGAGACGGAGTCTCGGTCTGTCGCCCAGGCTGGAGTGCAGTGGCCGGATCTCGGCTCACTGCAAGCTCCGCCTCCCAGGTTTACGCCATTCTCCTGCCTC